CCGCTTACTCGGAATTTGTTTAGGGATGTTGCATGCCCGACAGCATGCTCCTGGCGATACCTAATAATAATTAAAAAGAGAGCTTTGGTAAAGATTTCCAATATCATAACGCATATAAAATAGAAACTGAAGACAGTATGACCTGACTGGACTTCAGTTCAGCCTTGAAAGCTATACATTGTTCAATGATACGGCATTCTAGCTTTTGACGCTTCTTTTTACCGCAGAAACTGCGTGCTAAGAGTACAAACTTGGTGGAATCAAGTGGGCGAGTTTCGCAATATATATGCCGATACAGAGGAAGCCCCGAAAGCAAATCAGCCTATACATATATATGATTATTTCTTTCTGGGTCTGCCTTTATCTCGACCTGACATGTGCATGCGCTTAGTAATTTTTTCGTTTAGTAATTAGGCATTGGTTAATTTCTTTGGCGTGTCAATGGCGCAGTGGCTAGTAGACGACAACACCCTGATCAATACATGTCAAATTCATTTGAAATAAATTCTACAGATTCAGTGCCGGATGTGGATACGGGAAGGTTTTTCGAAGCGTACAGAGCCGCTCTACAAGCTTCGGCCCATCGACCATGGAAAGACCCGAGGACATTCATCTTCGACGAAACTGTACCAAATGCTTTCTATAGGGCCAATATCAACAATCTCATTGTATCCGCAACATTGCTTCAGCATCCATTTTTCAATTTCGAAGGTCCTGCTGCTTTGAACTACGGAGGCATTGGCACGGTGAGTAGCATGTGATGCATACGCGTAATATGAGAATAGAAGGATTGAAAATGCAGAGGTATACCTGAGAAAAAAAGAACATTTGCTGAGCTGCTCTGGAGTCAATCCAGGTACGTCTCTCTCGGTTTTCTCAACTTTCACCAATTAGGTTTCACATCTTGTTCCACAGACCGTGCCCTCCGGTGATTCAGTTGATAGGCTGACGGTCAAAAGAGTTGCGGCTCGCGGCCTGTGATACCTGTGGGTTGCGGCACTGGTGACCATCGGTAGTGAGTCCAGATACTCGGTGTATAAGATTAGTCAGGTGGTCGAAAACTTGAAACCAGCTTGAGTGGCGGGCGAAAACTGCTGATACAAACCCCGCTTGTGAACCATTTATAACCACACCCCCTTTTGTGTAAGCGCACCCTTTTAATTGCAAAGAATTTCTTAGCGAACTTTGGCGACATTGAGCGTATCTATCTATCTATCTATCTATCTATCTATCTATCTATCTATCTATCTATCTATCTATCTATCTATCTATCTATCTATCTATCTATCTATCTATCTATCTATCTATCTATCTATCTATCTATCTATCTATCTATCTATCTATCTATCTATCTATCTATCTATCTATCTATCTAGCTAGCTATCTATCTAGCCGCCTTCAACTTTTAGCTCTCCTGGCTGTTTCGACAATGGTATCGATACCAAACTTGGTATGGCATGGAATGACTGTACGAAAAACAAATTTAAGTTGCCATAACATGAAAACTATGACAAGTAGTGTGTGATGAATGTCATGATTTAAATTTCATTGTTCTGCAGCTCTTGCGGTGATTTTGTTTGCATTGCATGTTCCAAAAGTGGTATCGTATGGCATGATTGCATGGCGCACACAAGCGACAGACCCTAATTTGATAATAATGAGATGCGTGTGATATAAAAACATGACTACATGCCACGTTCATCATAAGCTGGTGGCCGTTTCGCTAGCTTTACTTATACCACATTTAGCATTACGGGACGTTAATGGATGACGAAAATATGATACTGGTGCAAACATGAAAACATAAGATGCGTGTCATGTAACAACATCACTACAAGCTACGCTCATGATGCGCTCACGGCCGTTTCGCTAGCTTCACATTTACCAAACTCGGTATTACATGACGCGAAAGGACAACATAGGTAAAGGACACATCCAAACATAATAATCATGACATGCGTGTCATGTCACAACATGACTACAAGTCACACTGTTGATGTGCTCGCGGCCGTTTCACTAGCTTCACATATGCCAAATTTGGTACTACTCGACACCAATGGATGACGAAGGTATGTGATTGGTACAAACTTGATAATCACAAGATTCGTGTCATGTGAGAACACGACTACATGCCACAATCAAGACGCCAATAAATTTCGACATGACGCAGTGCACGTGCTCGCCAGAGGTCATTTCGTCGCATCACGCCGGCGTTGCCATGCCAGGCGCTGGTCCTGCCATATACTCGCAGGCGCGTCCGCGCTGCATTGCTTTGAGGCATGCGTGTTTCAGTGCGTCCGGCGTCCTTCCGTCACAAAAAGAGGGAGACGCGGTGTGGTCTGGGTAACGCATCGGTGCGAAATGCAGTATGTCGCCTCTCGCACCAGTTGCCGTAGGGCCACGCAGACGGACGCTAGTCGTGCCTGGCATCAGATTATAGAGTGCTCGCGTTTTGCTAACGTGACGTCGCTGTGTCCAGCGTGCGCGCGTGTCAATGCTACATTGGAGTATGTTAGGCCCTTCATGATTCTTTCGCGGCCGTTTTCCTAGCTCCACATATACCAAAGTTGGTGTTACTTGACGTCCATGGATGACGAAGGTAAATGACACAGCCAAACATGATAATTATGACACGGAAGTCATGTACGGCATCATTTACCTCTACCTCGTAACGTTGTGCTGATTTTAAAGTGACATATCAACATTTCTCATTCGTGTTTCGCATGTCATCAATTCCCACTGTACGTGGGATCTGACAATTTTTGTTTAACAAACGCAGAAATTGCGGCCGTCGTAACAGGTCCGAGAGTGCTGTCTAGATGGCGTAGCTCTGAGGTGTGCGGCGCGACGGGCTATCGCAGAATAATGAGCGCTGCATAGTGACTCGGTCATTGATGGTATGCTTTCACATCCAGCTTGAAAAGCGGAACAGTTTCGAGAAAGCTTCGATTGACACGCGCATAACGCACAGAAGAAGTCGGGGTATCCTGTCGGCTCACGCGTCTTTGTGTTGTACGCATATATGATTGAGAAGTGTACCGTGTACACTTTATTTTTCTTGTACTCAACGTAAATTGATAGTATCCTTGTTAGAGTCCTGTGGGTACCTAAAGGGACAGTAAAGTCAAATAAACATTTACGTCAGAGTGAAAACTCAATGTATGAAAACACCTAAAATCACAATATTATCAACAGCAGTGCTCCAGTTACCGAGAAATTAAAGTAAATGCACAAGAACGCAAGCGCCGCAGTAGGACAATTTCAAAATGGTCCCGATGACATCAGACGGACCACCTACAATTAATCACTAGTAATCGATCTGACTGCACTAAATAAAGAACGTTCCGTACATTAGAAGACGCAATAAAATGCTGCTTGTTTGTTTCTGGTTGATTCATGGGAAAAAGGAATCGCTGGACGCTACAACGGGAAATGGCACGACTGATTCAAAAATTAACTTTCGCATGGGTACACGGAACAAGTGGTGCCATCTAGTGGGCGCAGTGGAAAGAAAAACGTCTGTATTTTTGAAACATATGGCGGGAAATTGATCGATGGCTGTCGTTGCGGCTGTGGCTCCCACTGCTTTCAGTCTGCTGCTACTAGAGCAGTTAAGCCGGGAAATGTAGCGCATGACAACAGTGGCGTGAGACGGTCTGGTCGGTCCGCTTCTTGAAGCGGGTAATTTGAAGGGTGATAACCCGATGTGGAGCACTAAAACAAAATTTTATTCAAAAATAAGCTCTTCCTTAGCACAAAAGTACACTACAAAGTTTTTGGTCCACCATTTCAACGTCAACGTCGAATTAATCGTTAACTTTAGTGTACCTTTAAGAAACATTTGGTGACGGGCGACAACGTATGTTACGAAGAAGCTGGCAGGCGAACAAAACCTGAGTTTATTCAATGGCTCAGCTGTACTAACGTCCTCGATGGTTAATTAGTTCTAGAGGACCGGCGGCCAGAATGGCAAGGTAAGGCAAAAACTATGACACGTGCAAGGCTGCTGAAGTATGTATTTTTGTGATTTTAGTGTATGTCATTAAGAGGTCAGTGCTTATGAGGACCCATAAATTTGTACTCGTTGCATACGGGTATCAGCGTCCTAGGTCGACACGAAAAATCTGGAAGCGAGAGTTTGGAGGTGTACAACATGAAAAATGGCGGGTGGCATATTCGTGAAACACTTTTCACAATCAAACTGTTTGCAACCCGCTAAGCTATTTTTCGTGTGGCGTCGCGTTTAGGGTAAATATAAGCCTCAGGATGTAGTATCTCAAAGCATAAAAACGCAAAGAGCATGGAACTTCAATATACAGCTACATGCGTGCCCTGGACAGAACACTTGTCGTGCAAAGGTTGTGGTAATATATAAAAGGCATTCGGTTCGTGTTGTCATTCGTACAGGCTATTATCTCAAGAACTGTCCTCGTGTCGGCGCGAGGGTCGTTGGCCCGAGGAGCGAGTATATTTCAAAAAAATATTACAGCGTTTTCTGAAGCAAAGGGTCCTAAGCATTCTCATTAGTTTGAGCTCCGATTTCTTTGCCAACAGCGAGGGCTCTTAGCGTGTCTTTCTCCCTATGTATCTACCAAGCCCCCCCACGTGTGAATGCCCTCGTGATCTTTCGCTCAACTTGGAGTAAACCAAAATTAGTTGGGGAGGATCAGATGGTTCAACGAAAATGTCTGGCTGGTCATGGCATGAGTTATCTGAAAATGCCATCACTTACCTCGTCACGTCTTTCCCGCCAGACACGAGTGAATCATGACCATGTACTAAAGGCCGGTGTGTGCCACAGGTTCGCGGATACGCGCCACAAGTGTCTGATGGTTTACACCTGCAGTGGAACAGCAAGAACACGTATTGGTAGTTGAAATGCATAGCGTTAGGCTAAACTAGCATCGACAGTGTTGACCCAATGAGTGCAAGAAATCAAACCCAAGCTGAACTCAAACCCAAGTATTCTGTGTTGCAATCAGGTATTCTACCACTGGGCCATGCCAGGTCGCGGAATTGCTTTGAAAATATACCTGACGCAAGTGGTATGTTCCTAAAACTTCAGTTCTGTTTGCAGTGCTCGATATTCTGTAACCATCACATATGTACTTCTATTATAAAGCCGTGATGTTGCGTTGCCGTCAGTTCTAGTTACAGCGCAATCCACTGAAGTTGAGTTATGTAGCGGTGTCGTGGGCTACCAGCCTCACGAGCACACACGCTACATTTCATCCAACTGCTTCTGATGCTGCTAATACTCCTGTTGCTGTTGGCATTAAAACGCAACTGTAACCTGATTATCTAAATCATATGAGATTATTTAACATACGTTAATGCATGTGAGATGTGTACATATCTATGACAATATTTTGTAACTTTTCACTCAATATAAAGATTGAAACACAGTCACCTTCCCTCCGCATGCTCCGCATAACATGTACTCGGTGTACGCGGGATGTTCCATTTATTTTTTTTAGTACGCACCAACAACTTTATGTATGTGGTAACATTTTCGGGAGGATATGTGAGTTGGTAGTTATATAAGCGGATGTTGGTTATACAACTTCTACCTGTATGAATTTATAGTTAAAGTTACAATAGCCTTCACGGATCACGTTTTCAATTGCTTTTGTATTACAGATAATTGCCCACGAAATGATGCACGGTTACGACGTGGATGGAATCAACTATGGTGCGGATGGCACGCCGCAAGAATGGGTAACACCCGAGTTTCTAGAAAAGTACACGGAAAGGACGCTTTGCTTGAGAGAGTCGCACAAAGCTGCAGTGAGTGTGTGTTTCTTCGCTTGGTAGGCTAACGTGAATGTACCTTCCAGCAATTTCGAAAAAAAAATTTAGAGCGCGCATGCTTGAGACAGTGGTATTATTGATGGCAAATACATATACCATTGCAGCATTTGACTCGTTCCAGTAGCAAACACTGGTTCAACACTGTGTGCTTAGCGCCTCCCCAGGTTTGTCTCGTGTAACTCGGTGATGAGCGCCAGTGTCAACGCCACTCTCACTGTCACTGTTAGCACTAGCACAAGCTCACGATAAAGTAAACCGTCCCCCGCTCAATGGAACCATCTTCTTGCTGCTTCGCATCCAGGCGTGGTTTCCTTAAGCGGGAGATAGTTTAATGTTTATGATGGGCTTCTTTGACACTTGGCGAAATGTGCGGTGTTATTTCCTCATAATTATAAACAGTCAATTAGGTTGAGAACTGTTGCTAAATCAGTATTTACATAAAAGAGTTTGCAGTTTATTCACTAGGAATGATCAATAAATGCGATACCATCATAATAGATTGAAACTCTGTATTGAGGGCGTGGTTGCAGGCGCCAATGTTTCGACCAGCCTACTTTAAATGTTGAAGACTGTAACTGATTTTTTAGCACTTGTGCGTATTTGCTTTGTCCCCTCCCATATCTAAGCCAATTAGGCACAGACACCGGCTACAAAATTTGAGTAGTTTGAAGGAGATGCCACCATGACTAATTGGTTGAGTGAACAAGAGCTGTATCGTAAGGCAAGAACAAAGGCGCTACATGCTTCTTTCAATTATGGTTTTTTATGGCTTTCATTATGTGTGTACCTTATGGTATGGTGTGAAAAGCCACTTCTGATTCTCCGGTTAACCTGCTCTGTTTGACTGAAGGACATAAAGTTTGAGATCGTGAAGATGTGACCTGATACGTTAAAATGTTGTTCCACTGCTTCAGGCAATTTTTCGTCAATATGGTTGATTGGGCGAGTTGGTGATTCATGACCGTTTTGAAGCGCTTGTTCCTCTCTTTCTGTCCGCGTCTAAGTAGTGCGCTCTCACTTCAATTTTTTCGCCATGGCTAAGCGATGCCCGTATAACTTCGCATACACATGAATTCCCCATTTACTAGTCTATGCGATTTGTGACAATATAAACATTTGCTTTATATGATGTACGTGTTCATTTTCGGTGCTTTATGCCTTAACCTTATCAATTGTTAACCCTAATTATGGCATGACTGCATGGTGAACACAAGCGACAGGCCCCGACATCAAATTATTAAATGCGTGTCATGTAACAACATAACTACATGCCACGCTCATGATGTGCTGGCGGCCGTTTCGTTAGCTTCACTTATACCAAATTTGGTATTACAGATCGTGAATGGATGACGAAAGTATGTGAGTGATGCAAACATGATAATCACGAGATGCGTGTCATGTAACAAGATGACTACGTGGCACGCTCATGATGCGCTCACGGCCGTGTCGCTAGCTTCACATATACCAAGTTTGGTATTACGGGTATTGAATGGATGAAGAAGATATGTGACTGGTGCAAACGTGATAATCATAAGATGCGTGTCATGTAACAACATGACTACATACCACACTCATGAAGCCCTCGTGGCCGTTTCGCTAGCTTCACATATGGTATAACGTCACGTGAATGGATGACGAAGCTAGGTGACTGGTGCAAACGTGATAATCATGAGATGCGTGTCACGTGAGAAGATGGCTACCTGCCACAGTGAAGGCACCAATACATTTCGACGTGACGCGGTGCGCGTGCTCGCAAATGTTAATTTCGTCGCGTCACGCCAGCTTTGCCACCCCAGGCGCCGCTCCTGCCATATACAGGCAGGCGCGCGCCGCGCTGCGTTGCTTTGACGCATCCGCATTTCAGCGCGTCCGGCGTCACCCTGTCACGAAGAGAGGGAGACGCAGTGTTGTCTGGGTAATGCGTCGGCGCGAAATGCAGCATTTCACATTTTGCGCTGGTTTCTGTTGGGCCACGCTGACGGAGTGCTCGCGTTTTGATATAACGTAGCGTCGCTGTGCCCTGCGTGCGTGTGCCTCAAGGCTACGTTGGAGTATATTGGGCCCTTCATGATTCTCTTGTGGCCGTTTTGCTAGCTCCACATGTACCAATTTTGATGTTTCGTGAGGCCAATGGATGACAAAATATATGAATGGTGCAAACATGATAATCCTGACGCGCGTGTCATGTGGAAACTTAACAACATACCACACTTATAGCCTGCTTACGGCCGTTTCGCTTGCTCCACATATACTAAATTTGGTATCACGTGACGTGAATAGATGACGAAGGTACACGACACATCGAGACATAATCATTAGGACACGGAAGTCGTATACGGTATCATTTACCTCCACCTCGTAACGTTGTGCGGATTCTAAAGTGACATATCTGCATTTCTCATTCGTGCTTCGCATGTCATTTATTCCCACTGCGCGTTGGATCTGCCAACTTTTTATGAAACCTTCGCAGTTGACGACGAGAGCCCGTCAGGTTGTGCTCAACGACATCATCGACTCGGAGAACTTGGCTGATTTTGTTGGCACTGCAGTTTCTTACGCGGCCTTCACTTCCTTACCGCCTGTTAAACGGGATGTGACGCTTCCGGGCGTCAACCTTACTGCCGAGCGTCTCTTCTTTATTGGCTATTGCAGCAAGTTGTCTGCGAGCCGGTATGTGTTTAACGAAAGGTACGCCCCAGACCCCTCCCGCTGCATTGTGCCAATCATGAACATGGCCGAATTCTCGGACGCTTTCGGATGTGCACCAGGCTCTCGCATGAACCCGTCTAAGAAGTGCGCCTTCTGGCCATGATGACGTCTTTTGTGTCTGTTACGGTGGTTTTGATTTTTTTTCCAAATATATATTTTGTAAATTCGATGTCACTAACGCGAAAACCTAAATTACTATGACCCAGACGTGTCATGTGACGTGAAATTTGTAAACAGGGGGTGGTAGCTGCTGCCGATGTTCGGACAAGTGGGCTTTTCTTTTCTTCTTTAATTTTTATTACAGTGCTTTGACACCGTTTGCTTCCGCCTATTCACCTAACAATGCCGCAAAAAAGAGAAAAGGCATGCAGCACGAAAACCCGAAAGCGCACTTACTCCTCACCTTGCTTTCGCAGTTGTGTCTGTAGCTAGAATCAAGATGGATCGGCAAATGTACTTATTTGTCTTATTTTAGCCATGCATTGAGTACACTCATTTGCAAGAGTAGTCGGATGAACAATTATTGCATTGTGGGAATTGAACAACTCATTTTGCAATAGGCATTCAATGATACCTTGAAACTGGCAATAATACCAGCACAGTCAGTTGTTCATCATTCTTTTGAGAAGCGTGGTATCCGCTAAACACTTGCAATAAACTTTGTGTTGCATTCCGTGGCTGACAGCGATGAACAATAACGCATGAAGTGGGAATGTGCGACAGTTAATAAGCGATGAAGAACAAGCTATTGTGATTTGTTGGAGCAATGGACTACCCACTTGTTACGCGATTCGCATTGTGTGACGCTTGGTTGTATTTTTCTGGTTCTAAAGTGCTTTATTAAGGTAAGCTTGCGAACGGCATGTTTGAGGCATGTTTGTGAATGAATGCTAAGCACCAGCGTGCTCAGCGGTAGAATACTGGGGTGGCTCGCAGTGGACGCGAGCTGAATTTTACTATGTCAGCACATGTCTTTGATTTTCCTATTTTGAGTATCTTTTTCTTATTTTATGCGATAGTGGTTGCGGACACTTGCAGTGGCGGTGGACAACTACGGCGCTGCACGTGAGCCATGTTGTGATCTAATACCAGTTTTACTGTAAAATGGCTGCTAGTGCGCTCTACACAAACGTGGCCACGGCTAAACTCCTGGTAACAATAGAAACCTCTCTGCTCGAAACTTTTGCGGAAATATATTCTAGGATGGGGGCACTCGGGGGGGGGGGGGCACAGGTTGTATTTATTTTAGTCTCTAACCAACTGCGTATAAGCCACTGCGCGTGGGCTTGTTTTATTTGTATAGCGGCTAGAAGACAATGAAGACACTGGCTTCGATGATTGCGTGCGGTTCCACGAATAAGAAAGGTGGCTGCTTTGTTAGGGGCCAAGAGTGAAACAAGTATAGCATTTCCTGTGGTAGATAGAAGCGTAAAAAATATTGACTAGGTTTGGCACATGCCACGAAAATGAGGGCAAGAAATTTGGCAGACTTCACCCATTGCGGGAATCGATTCCGTGCGACGCAGTCGGTGAGTGATTACCTGTTCTGCATTTTCTAGCCTTTGATCCAAGTGTTACAAGGTTGATCAAGCCGTTTTGAAAGCTTGATGTGTGTGTACATTTTGGGATTACCTGGAACGAAGACTGCAGTAGCACGTAAAGAATAAGTTATGCGGTCATGTAACGTCAGCAGTCTCGGTGTAGCGCAGACAGCTATTGTTGTTTCATGTGCACTTTACAGAGTGGAGAAGCAAATATCATAAGCATATTTCGTAAGCCTACTGCACTAGCTAGAGCAACTTGAACACCAATTGGTGAATCACGGGAATGCACGTGCAATGGTTATTAGACTTTTATAAAAGCAGTGCCTACAGTGGAACTACATTTCTCCTTTATTGATTTGTTGTAAAAGGAGATGCAAACACAGTTGAAGATGCACCGACATTAGGTCTTCATGGAACGGTTTCTCAAAGCAGTTTAAAGCATGATGTGGCTTTGAAGTAGTGTACTGTACGCCAAAGAGAACAATTGTTTTCTGCATGGCAGAATCCTTACTTCAATTTTTTGTTCTTCTTCCTAGTCTCATTTTGAATCTTTTTATTGTCCGAGTGAAAACGTCAGCCTTTTCTTAATTTTTGTTTAAGTTATGAACGTCTGTTCAAGCTATTCCTGCAATCTCGAGCATGTAATTGTACAGGTATGCACTTATAACATCATGTATTGATAGAGCAGTAAGGTTTGGGGCACGCGAATGATGGACAGTCGATAGACGGCGCCCGACAAGAAGGTAAGTTAATGAAAAGAGGCTGCCCAGACGCAGACTAAGCCGTCCTCCTGGGAACGTGTCTTTCTCGTCACAGCCCGTGAGCTTTTCTTCACAGCACCTTGTGCTGGGGAGTCACCCGCACGCCAGTAATGCTCTCACGGTGAGCCAGACTGAGAATTGAGTGACCACTATCGCGACACGGCTCCCGACCAGAATGTGGTGCCATGCTGTAACAATACTTGTGGATATATGGCAGAACAGTGTGTACTAATGCCAGATAGACGACCGGCCGTATAGACAGGCTTTTTGTTGTGCGAAAGTATCATTTAAGCTGTACGTCGATGAAATGACGTAGTTGTTCTCAGCTGATGCTCGGAGGATAGCAATGTGTGGGAGCGCAGTAGCGGAGAACCATCTCCGAGGAATAGACAGTTGTTTGCTTCATTGGTGGAGCATCGAGTAGAAGGTATTCATTGAGCTATACGTCGATGAAATGATGGAGTTCGGGGGATGCTCGGAGGATAGCAAAGTCAATTTTCGGAAGATAGCAGTGCCAGAATGCAGAGGCGGAATTCCATCTCTGAGGAAAGGGCAGTTGTTTGCTCCATTGGTGGAGCATTGAGTAGGAGTTCGTCCCACGAGGCTGTCTCAGATGAGACGGGAGGTATTTAATGAAGAGAAATGAAGAGAAGGGGAGCTTGGTGCTCGAGAACAAGATCGGGAAGCGGGGACAGAGGTCGTGCTTAGCGCAGACTCTGATCCATGGTTGATACTACGTTGAGAGGGACAGAGTTAGTGCTTAGCGCTGACTCTGATCCTAGTTTGATACTACATCGAGAAGTTGGTGTCGATTTTTAGGAACACGAAGAGCTTGGCAATTAACGCTGACGTTAATAATAATATTACAGGCCAGTGCTTACTGTGCAGTTGGTTTAGTTGCCACCCCGGCCTTTGTTTGTAAATAAGTGTAAGTGTGTATATAAACCGAAGTTTGTGAGGAAGTCAGCAAGCAGTCCAGTCCTTCAACGTGTCGTCGTGATCGTCTGAACCGTCGGGATCACATCCATCATCCCAACCTTAACTGGTGCAGTCGACAGGATCTCGCGGCGGCTTCCTGAAGGACAATGAAACATGCTGCCTTTCTGGCACACACACACACACCGAAAGCCAAAAGTGAGGGTGAAAGAAGATCATCAGGCAGCGTCAGAGCAGACATGAAAATATGCAGTTCAAGAAATCTTAAGTCGGTGCAACACTGACCGTGGCGATTAGCTGAGGCAGAATTGAGAGTGACAACTTCTTACGCTCGGACATCGGCTTCTCACACAGAGTGGCTGATGACGACTGGAGTTAATAATAAAGCCAGCGGGTGACCAGCGACCGGCACACCTATCAAGGTATAGACTGAGTGGCGCACGTACATCCAACTGCAGCAGAAAATTGGTTCCACTATCATCTGACTAGAACTACTACCCGGAGGTGGTGCGGTGACACATCTACGCACAGTGAACCATATGTGGGTCTCTGTTCCGCTTTCTTCGGGAGCACCATGGCGACTAGGGTGACGAGAAGTCAGAGGGCAGAAGGGACTACCATTACTATCTGACCTTTGTCTCATCGTAATAAGACAGGAGTCAGATCGTAATGAGATCGTAATTGTGGTTTCTAGTGAAAGCACGGATCCAGCTGTTCAAGTTCGAAGGAAGGAACTAGAAATGTAGAGTTTGAAGCTCCAAGTTTAGCTACAAAAATGAAGCTTCAGTCTCAGGCAGGAGTTGAGGTGGAGCGTAGTGACTGGTCTGGTTTGGCACGGTATGCGGATTGGCTGCGAGCAGTTTTTCAACCAATGCCGGTTTCCGATTATCTAATGCCTGCGTGCTTCCGCAGCGCTGAAAATATGCTTAGAAGTTGCGGTATTCCCGAAGATGATCAGGTTGCTATTATTATGCCGTTTCTGAATGAGAAATCTCGGACATTGGTAGCAGACCGAGCTGAGGAACTTAAGCTTACCCCCGAGGACTATATACGCTATCTTTACACATGTCGGAAGTGAGACGGGGGGGGGGGGTAGTCCGTCACTAGGCTTGAGATCCTACTCGACTATTACTTTGTAGTTGGGAGGTCATAACATTACAGGACCTACGCGCGTTATTAATTTCAGACCACGTCAAACCGCTAATGATGAAGACATGCGGAAAAACGTCCTACAGAATGAGACAGCAGAGTGGCTCAGGCCCCAGCCTCTAGCGAAGCTCGCGCAGAAATATGACGAGAGCACAGAGAGCAGATGAGAGAAAAGCAATGCCGCTAAATTGAAGAGAGGGGAATCGTTTATTCACCACGCGGTGGATCGGCCAGCGGTAGGAAACGAAAAGACGACACTCCGATGCTATGCTTGCAGGGAAAGCAGACACTCCACAAACTACACCGGAAACATCGGCAGCAGAAAGGGGCAAGACGTACACCTGCCTGAAAGTTTAACGGCGAGGGCAGTGTGCGAAACTATGATAGGAGGCATAGTTTCTGTCACAGACAGATTAACATTGGTTGAGTTAGTAAGCGGGGGAGCACGCTTAAGGCCCGTCTAGATTCCGGATCTGGCATAACCGTTCTCAGAGAGGAGCTAATTTTCGCTGTAGCAAAACACAAGTAAATAGGAAAAGTATGTCTGAGAGGATCATTTGGGCATGCTGTTCAGGCTGACCTGATGTATGTCCCGTTAGGGTTGAACACTTCTGAAAGAGCTGCTGCCCCTGAGCTGATTGAACTGCGTTATCACAAATAAACTTGCATGAGTAGATGCTCTACTTAGGCCAAACACTTTAGGCAAACTCAAG